TCAGCCCAGTATATTATACGTATCTTTTCTCACTTGTAATCAGTTAAGTATATTATATGTATCTTTTCTCACTTGTAATCAGCTCAGTATATTATAGGCATCTTTTCTCACTTGTAATCAGCTCAGTATAATAACTAGCCTTAACGTTTTGCAAATACTAAAGTAATTGTGCTGTCTTTAGTTAAAAAAGATATATTTAACTTAATAACTAGCCTTAACCTTTTGCAAATACTAAAGTAATTGTGCTGTCTTTAGTTAAAAAAGATATATTTAACTTAATAACTAGCCTTAACCTTTTACAAATACTAAAGTAATTGTGCTGTCTTTAGTTAAAAAAGATATATTTAACTTAATAACTATTTGGTAGACTAGAAACTCAAGTGGAATCTTATAATGTCTTTTGGCTCAAGGAGCCAGCTCCTGAAAAAAGTACAAGTTTTTGACCAAAAAAAGATTAAATATTAAACCCCTGAATCTATTTAACAATTATTGCTCTCAAACCTTGTTTTAAAGAAGACGCTCAGACTTTTACAATTTAACCAAAAACGGTAGGTATTATAATCAAACTCATTATTATAATTTTATCAAAAGGCTTATTGCTGAAAACCGATCCAGTTTTGTGTAGTTGAAAGACAAGCGGGTTTATTATGAGCGCGTGATTGTCATTACCTGACAGTTTAGATTGAATAGTTATGCAATCAGTGGCATAGATAGCTTAAGTAACAAAACAAACATAAAAGAGAAAACAGTAAATTCACATACTAAAGAAGAAACTGGAGAAGTAATTACGAGTTTTGATTTATCGAATTTAGATAGTCATAAAGGAAAATACGATCACTTACAATGCAGAAGTTCTTATAAGCACATTATGATGAAATATTCTCTAAAATGCCCGCGCTCCGTTACAGGGTTCAAAGAACCCCCTCAAGATTCATAGAGGGTCCAGTGTATCGATCAAGCTCCTCCGTTATTCCCAGTAACTGATATAGATACCCGAAGGTGGTTCTGTAACAACAAATAATAATAAAAAAATCAACGTCAGGACACTCGTTGTTCCTGAGCACATATGCCAAGTTTAGTCCCACTAGCTTGTATGAGTGGAGAGGGGGGTAATGAACACAATCTAAAACATGGCGCTCCCAGAATACTCAGGAGGGGTCCGAAAACAAAAACTCTGTTGTTGGATTCTGGTTGTAGCTTTCACCATGCATAACTAACTAACTAACTGTACTCGTATATTAATTTATGTTGTATTTGGCCGCAAGAAGGACCAAAGTTTTGGAGCTGGCAAGGCCAAAATTGAAAAGTGGGCTTGAGTGTGTCTATTCCTATAGCGTAGCCCCATACCAAGGTGGGGAGGGGTAAATAGGGCCCTGGAGGTCACCCAGGCATGATGAGTGTCAAGGAGTACGTTTTCAGGGCCGTCTGTAAATGAGAATATATTCGAAAAAGAAACGAAAGAACAATTCAAGTTAATATCAATTCTAAAATATCAAAAATGAAAGAGGTTTGAATTAGTTTTAGAGATTTCTAAGCTATATGTCAAAGCTATTTCGGTCTTAGATTAACATTTCTTGAATTTTTATGTTTTGGAAAAGTTTATCGTTTCGCCAACTTCAACGTTTAATGGAATAAGTGACTCTATAGTTTATAAGTGCATGTATGACGTCACTCTTTAGTGGCCATTGGCTTTTGTGAACATCTGGTAATTGACATGCGACAACCACATGGACTGAAATTATAGACAACCCTCGAAACCGGAACTTCATATAATTTAAAAATAACAAACACGAAACTAATATCATATTGGTTGGAACACGTCTACCATAAAATTTAGAATTTATCCAATTGGAATGACGTTCAATGACGTTATTTACACTATCTTCGAACAAGGTTGAATTGATGTATTGATTTTTTTTTAAAGAAACAATTAATTTCATCTTTCACCAAAGGCTTTAAAATGTACCAAAACAAGGTGTGTAAACTGTATAGTTTTGAACCACAATGAAGCAAATTACTATATGGTGATAATCCTTATCTAATCGTGATCGCAATCGTTTTTTTAAATACTTATTGGCTAAGGACCTACGTTTCAACTGTTAATTTGTTGCCATCTTCAGGGGATTCCTAAATATTTTATTATTGTTGTTTTGGTACGTGGCAGAAAGGGGTTAAATCGATTTGTCCGAGTCCTTCTCAGAAAAACTACAGCACAATAAGAGTCGAAATATGAAAACTAATTTCATTATTAATTTATGAGAAAACGTTCAATCGCTCGGGTTAAAATTAGTTTAACGTTATGAGAAAATTAATCTGCACCTTGAAGTATAAGTCAAAAATGTTGTGTTTAAATGTATAGTATTTTTACTTCTAGTTTTGGAGAGAAAAAAAAACACCTAGGCGTTAACAGTTGTAAAGAAATCTAACGACACATACGTCTTCACTAGTGGAGGATCAAATAAGAATTCACTTTCAACATAAACAATTCCACCAGCAAAGCTGTAGACTCACGGTTTAGGCTTAGGCGACCAGGAAGTTGTCCCAGCTCTCTAGTTGCTTGTGACAATTGTACATAAAACAGCAACAAAGGGTAAGCTTAGATAAAAATAAAACATTACTGAGGTAAAGAAAGTAACTTGAAACACTA